ACAGTTTAGAGAATATGCAAATTGATGTTAGGGTGTAGAATGTTTAAAAGGGGTCAAGTTTAAAATTAATAGTGACGTCAATTTGAATTTTTCCGTTCAAGTTCTTGAAAAACTTTGGCATGTAAGAAATAAATAACGGAGTGATCTTGATAAAATGCGCGATGCAATATTATCATGATAATTAGTGAAGAGGCATGTTTGTGTATTTCAGTTGCTCTCGTTATTGAAAGCAAACTTTACCAAATTTGAAATCGGCTTCTAAAGGACTAGTTGAAAAGGTCTAAGAATCTAATTCAGTCGCAGTTTCTGAAAGGGTGGGTAAAAAAGGTGGACAAAAAGTTAAGTTTTAGAGATTATGAACTGCAGTCTGTATTCTCTTGTTTTTTAGTACAACGAATTTGAAATTATTTTATCTATTATCGTAAATTCTATTGCGCGTTCAAAATTAATGCCAATTTCTGCAAATTCTTTTCCCCGTTTGATTACAATTTGTATTCACACAAAAATTTCATGTTATCATTTTTTGATTGATGTGTCATTGACAAGAGTCAAACATAATGTTTTTCTGCTCTTCTCTTGCAGATTGCTTAATGTCTGAAGTTTCATATCAAGACTCGAAGCGCAAGAACGTAAGACAGACACTCAAGCGAAAAACCAGTCAACAGCAGAGGTAGAACACAAAGCCTGGCTACGCGATTCTCTTTCAAGTGAGATTATTTGAAAGATTAACAGCAGATTGACATCTTTAATTTTCAAATAGTTACTCACAAACAAGTCCGTTATTGAAGACAACTGAAAAGTATTCTTAAAAAAACAAATCCAATTTGGACAGCGTTCTCATAAGTTTCAAGCGAAACAAACCAATTGCTGACGAATGCGTCATAGACTTGGCGCGAATTTTGTTGGTTGCCCTCTCTTGTATGCAAATAAAAATCCTGAAGGTCTTTTCAGGTGTAAATATTTTCTCTGAGATAAACAAATAGAGGTTACACTTAAAGAGAAAAACCCGCATCCAACAATAAGTGAAAAACCCTCAGAAGTTCTCCGGGAGTAAGGGACTTGAAAATGTTCATTTCACCCCTTTGAAAATTTCAGACTTACATTAAGTTGTTGTGGAAATAAGAGAAATGAAGTGGTCATCCTAAATGCTCAGATGCCGCAGCAAATAGAATACTAGATATCTCTACACATTCTGGCGCAAGAAGCGTTGATCAAGCTGTGTTTTTTTTCCGACGCTGTATTCAGAATTTGTTACTAATATACGGAGGAGGAGGAAAAAATAACCTTCGATTTTCTGACTAAATGATACTGTAGTACAGCTTTTTATCACCTATATAATTTACGTAGGATAAGGAAATATTTAACCCAAAAATCGATTGAAATTTTAATTCATTCATTAATTTACAGTCGTATCCGACTACTGCAATAGTTTATATTTTGGGCTGCCAGAATATCAAATAAATAAGTTACAAAGAGTGCAAAATGGAGCGGCAAGGCTGATATTTATGGCTAGTAAATATTGTCACATTACTCCGTTACTTTTTAAACTTCACTGGCTGCCCATTCGTCAACGTATTTTATTTAAGATCCTTCTGATCACTTTCAAGGCTGTTCAGGAGCTTGCGCCTAATTATATACTAGAATTAATTAAGTTAAAGACCCCTAGAAGGTACAGATTACGATCTTGTAATGAAGATCTGTTACTGGAATTAGCTAAAGGGAAGATGTACTCCACACTCGGTGACCGATCTTTTGAAACAGCCGCACTAAAACTTTGGAATGTTGTTCCATATTATATTAGAAATTCAAAATCGTTGAATCTTTTTAAAAAATATTTAAAGACGTATTTATTTAAAGAAGCTTTTAGTGGTTAAACACCGAATTACATTAGATTAGATTATATATATTTTTGTACTTAAATTACACTATTATACATTTTTAGATATTTTATTGACATGTTTAGCATATATATTATTTCATTATTAGATTTTAACCTTTTCTATTTGTTGCTTTTTTTTGTTTTTTTTTTCCAGTTAGATTTTTGTAACATATTAGTTTCTGCGCTGATGAAAATGTATATTGATATTAGCAAAATATTTAACAATTATTCTCTGAAATCGAGGTGAATAGTGGCTAAATATTTACCGAGCCGCGAAGCGGTGAGGTAAATATTCCCGAAAGCCACTATTCATCGAGATTGAAAAGAATAATTGTTTTAGTATATACACACGAAGTGATCTCGACAAAATTAAAAGGAAGCCATTTAAAGGCAATTTCTGCTTCTGAAACTTTAGCGAAACGCGAGTTTACGCCCGCTATTTTGTTTTTCACATTATCCACTCGCTCGGAGGTGTACATTGTTGATTAGCCCGAGATAGCGAACCAATCAGATTGCTTGAAACGCCAAGATCACTGAGTGTGTATATACTAATTATGTTTGTACGTCTGCGTGCCTGCCACACATTTTGTGCCTCATCTTGCTAGGTTTTGACCTCTTTATACTCAGGATCGTGCGACTGAGTAATTCTCCCTTTTNGAAAAACGATATTGAACCTAGAAAAAGCAAAACAATGTCCAACGCATACGCAAGGTTAAGATTTTTTAAAATCACATCAAAAGAAAAGTGGAGATTTTTTTAAAATATCAAAAGAGGGTTCAGGCTTTTTTAAAATAACATAAAAACCAAGGTGGAGATTTTTTTAAAATATCAAAAGGAAGGTTCAGGCTTTTTTAAAATAACATCAAAACCAAGGTGGAGATTTTTTTAAAAAACATTTTTCTTGCGAGTTGAAGGAAAGAATACAATGAGATAAATTAAAAGGTTTTCAAATATAGTTTATTTGCCATAGAAAATTAAGGTTAATTTTCACTTTACTATCAACAAAAATTAACACAATAACTACAACAATTAAAGCTTTATTCCTTGGATAATTTGATTCCTGGTCACAGCCACCTTGTATCTTAGTTCTGCAAAAACAAAATGTACTGAAAAGCCTTGACTCCGTGTTTTCGCTACGATTTCTGTGACCGCCGCAAAAGCACAAAAAATCTGCAATCGTAGTCATCTTATGGAAACCACAGTATTTAGCGGTCGCAGCGATCATCGCAATCGAATCGACCATCACCACTGTTCCGAAAATTCCCACATCAAGTTTTGTTCCCAACTAATCGCTGCGAAAGTGGCAATCGCACAAAAACGTGACCAGCGATCGTACATGTGTCGCGAACGTGATCTGTACGATCGTTGTACTAAGTTGATAAGACAATTGCAACTTTTCAATTCACAAATCAATTCTTATAGTTATAGAAACAGTCTTCTATTGGAATAAAAACTATGAAGTACGATTTTACATATAATTTTTTCTGTATTTACCTTCGTTCAGTTAGGGACGCTATAAAAACGTGAAAATTCAGAAGTAATTTCTAGTGGTGTATGATGTCAATTAGTTGCCTGGTCAAAATGAACGCTGGACAAAAATAATCAAAACTTCTCAAATAGACTGTACCAGAAGCTACATCAGTGCCATTACCTAGTAATCAAAGTTCATTTGGCCAGTTGTTGCCTTGTTCCCAATAAAACCCAATTTGAAATTTGAAGACAAATTATAGACGTATGTGTTGCAAGGGGGGTGGGGTGGGGTGGGGTGGGGGATGTGCCATACCCTTGACATACATATTTATGTTTATACTTTCGATGCCTAACTATTCCCCAGTCTCCAATACGCTCCTTCATTTCAGACCTTCATTTCTCCAATAACATTACTTGCATAGACTTGACATTAATACATAATATTAGGTCCTGGCTTGCACAACAGGCGTATTCTCTACAGAACGAGTGCTAAATATCCAAACCGAGTATTGAACCCGCTGTATATTGAATAGACTACGAGCTTTCCTTCCTTATCGGCGATTTCGGTCGTGCGAGTCCAAATATAATCAGTGAAAAAAAAAAATTATGTTAGCGCATCGCGGAAAACTCTACCAGTGAGGCGCTGTGCGCTAACATCTCGGACGAAAAAAGGGGACTGCTCATAATCTACGCGTTGACAAAATCAAAGGAGCCATGTGCTTGGTACTGGCTCACTAAACAATACTCTTGCTATAATTACACAATCAAGCTTAGTGGCTGCAAGCTTTTTACAAATAAACTATCTATCTACCTAAACTATCTATCTATCGATTGTTTTCCTTTCGCTGCCATTCTGTAGAAGAATAAAAGAAAAATTTTTTTTTTCCTTATCATATGGAGATGGATCTCTAGTGACTTCCTTGGGTCACTAACTGAACTTAACTTCCAGTTGCGTCGACAGGGGGGGGCGGAGGAGGAGTAGCTTCCTCGTTTGAGGGGGTACCTGCAGGAAGAGAAAGCACAGAAAAATCATCAGTTTCCGCGCGCCCGTAAAAATTTCCCTGAGAAAAGAGCACTTCAACAATGAAGTATTCTTATCTTTGATAAAGACGTCCAAGGACGCATTGCCAATAGTCGATTTGCAATAAATTTATCATTTACCTCCCTAAACATCGCGCAAATTACAGACTACGAGTAGTCCCTCCTTTTGGGCGAAGTCAGTCGCACGAGCCAAAACAAATAAAGTGAAAAAAAAGTTGATGTCAGCACACAGGCGGAAGTCTGGGAGAGGCGCACGAAATATACACACGAAATGTACGCACGAAATGTTTCGCGCCCCATTCCCATAGTTCCGCGCGGCATGCTAACATCATTTTTTATTTTAACTGGTTCTTTTAACTCGCACGAAGGACTTCATCAAAAAGCAACGACTGCTCGTAGTCTACACAAATCTGGGAATTGAAAACTAAATTGTCGACGTAATGGTCTACGTCAATTGATACACTA